TACCCACATAACAGTTGTCACCTGGGCAGAGAAGAGCAGGGAGACACGGCTGCTGACTTCTGGTTACAGTGGGATGATGGCCTGTGGGGGCACCATGGCATGACAAGATCTCCTTTTCCTCCTCTACCAGACAACACTAGTGTGAACACACTCCTAGGGGCAGCCTGACTGAAGAAGACAGCTTCTGGGTCAGCGACTGTGGCCACAGTTCCCCAATAACTGATGTGGGTGGAGCGTGGGTTTGGATCCGAGACACACTGAGAAGAATGACTGCTTCAGTAAGAAACCAATAGGTGGCTAGGAAGTAACTCAATTACAGGGTTCATGTTATTGGCTCCAGGGGCCATGGGATGGAGTGGAAACCATTGATTTCTCTTCAAGCTGACAGAAGGAGGGGCATTAACTCAGGAGCCTCTGCGAAGTGTGCTGTGGCTAGCATCCTGCACAGCTGCTTCTTCTGGGAGTGGGGCTCTTCTTTGGGGGTTTCCTGCTGTTATAAGCTGGTGGGGGTGAAGCTGAAGCCACATGCGCGTGAAGTACTGGCGTGCGCACCCTCAGGAGGCTCTAAAAGGTCCAGATTGGACTTTCTGACAAGGTGAATGTACTGTGCCATAGCCACATGGAGGGAACTGTGGACAAGAGCCACTGTGGCCACTCTGAATGTGCTCTAGGCCAACTTAGAGAGGGGAAAGACGCAAGAGCAGCCATGGACCTCCCTTTTGCTCTGGGTCCCATGTTACCTGGCACTCTTCTTGGAGACATGTTCAAGTTTAGGTTGGGAGGGCCTCTGGTCCTGTGCAACAGGCACATTTGACCACATTGCTTCCCGATCAAAACTCAGTGGTTCCCTTGAGTCTGTGGGGAAACGGGGCTGTTAACATTAATATTCAAAGCCCTTTGGGGGTCTATAACCCAACTGGGGCTCTCTCTCGCTTGTCCTAGTCACAGGAAGCCCCAGTGAGGTCAGCAGCCCTTCTGACAGGTGTTTGTGAAGCCTTGCCCCTCCCTGTGTGCTGGGGACAGCATCTTGGCTCTGGGCCCCAGCATGGAGCTTTTGTGGCACTTAGTTAGCAAATCAATGCAAAAAAACGATGACTGGCAAGCTCGGTGCCTCTGACAGAAGCCATCGCTCTCTGTAGAACACAGGCAGGCGACTCCTCACTTGCCTCCGGGCGAGAGGGGAACATTGACTTTCTGATCAAATATTATTCTGATGCGCAAGGCATCTTTGATGTTTGCAAGTCAGAAAAGTTTAATTACATGTGTCATTAGGATGGCATTCTCTAATAGCTCTGCGACTGAATTCATTAACAGAGTTCTTAACAGATAAGACAAGACAAATTAATATTTTGTTGCCCATGAAAGCGTCTCATTAAGAGAGTAGAGAAAAAGTGATTAATATTTTCTTGCCAATCAAGATGTCTCATACAAATGACAAAGAAAGGAGACCCACACCTTTTGTGTTTTCTAATCTCCCTGCCTGGGGTTTGGAAGGCTGATCCGCTTCCCTGGTTGGAAGCCATGTTTGGGCATCAGGCATTAATTACAACTCTGTTGACGGAATCTCAGTGCTCATGGTGGGGGGGTGAGGGGCGCTGAGATGGCCAATGGACTCTGGAAACACCAGGAACCTCAGCTCTGTGCTCTCCTAGGCTGTTGTCCCCTGGCTAATTCTTGCTTCATAAATGACTGGGCCATCTGAGGACCCGGCTATTGCTCTCTTTGGACTGACTTACTGCTCTAAGTGACCTCCTCGATGTCCTGGGAGGAAGCGGGGATGCTGCTGCAAACCCTCTGTGTGTCTCACGCTGAGCTGGTGTTTCCCACACATGACCAACTTTATTAATGATGGTAGATGCTAAGTCTCAAACCCTGGGATAAATGCTGAAGGGCCTATTTGACATAACAAAGTGGACACTGGCCACTAGGTTCTCCCAGCCTCTCTCAGTCCCTAACTGTTGTAAGGTCCTCCTGGTTGGCATACCCTGGCCCCCTACCCTAAACTTCTCTAGCCTAGGGGCTGGGCATCCCTTCCCTCGGCTGCCCTCCCATATGTAATCCAACCATTTTTGTTACCTGGTCTCTTTGGGCCCTTGGCTGCTGCTCCCAGTTCCCCTTTCCCTCCTCTCCCTCACCCCCTCTTCGCATGGTTCAGGGGCGTGACCACTGTGGACTCTCACAGATGTCTCTGCCTCTGGCTATGTTTTCCCTTTTATTTACAATAAACTTTCTCCTTCACTATACCTAGAAACAGCCATGTCCTTTACTTATTGTTTATTTTTTCTTTCAGTAAAAATAATTATAGTGATGAATAATGATAATGATGGTGATAATGGCACCACTAGAATAGTCTACGTCAAGAATGTCACATGTATCTCTTCATTGTAAATCTCTAAGGCAAGCCCTCTCTGTCATTTATCCCATTTCATAGACCCTTTCCAAGGTTACCACCACTTATGGTAGAGCTGAGACTTGAACTAGGCCCCTTTGAACCCACAGCCTATGTTCTTCATTAGCAGGTGGTGCTTCCTCTCCCTGATGTGGAGGAGGCAGGTATGGGCATTGCATGTGTGTGCTTGCATGCAGGGAAGACCCCTGTGGAGTAGGTGCTGCCCTGCACCCATGTTTGGGGCCTCTGAGAAGCACTGACCCTGCCTATTTATGGGCTACCAACTCAACCATGAGCAACTGTTTCCAGGGAGGTAACGAGGGACCATTAATCTCTAGTTGCATCCACAATTATCCAAATTGCTAACCTGATTTGAAAAGGAGAAATGCAATTGAGTTGGTGCTGGAGGCATGTTTGAGTAATTTAATTAACTGATGGGAAGTGCACTAAGGAGAGTTTGCCTCTGCTTTTATTTCTGATGTGTTTAAATGGAGCACCAAGTAATCCTGGGGAGGTTAGTCAGTCACCAGTGGCCCCACCTAGCGAGGAGCCAATCACAGCAGCCCAAGGTGTTTGCAAATGAATGCCAATTATGAGAGGCTCTGTATACACAAGCACATATCCAACCCACACACATGCACACATATACACGCTCACACTCAACACACACATGCACCTGACACCCCCAATATGCACCCTTAACATATACATGTTCATACATAAATGTACACATATTCAGCTCTCTCTCTCTCTCTCTCTCTCTCTCTCTCTCTCTCTCTCTCTCTCTCTCTGATGATGACGAACTTTCTTGCTATGGCCTCTGGCAAGGTCTAGCCATTCTCAGGCCTGGAGGATGAAGGGCCTACTTACTCAAGAAGTGTCTGTCACACACACCAGGGCAGCGCTTCACTGACTTTCAGAGGTGGATGGGAGAGGATACTGGCTGTCCATATCACAAAGGGGAAATCTCAGGGAAACAACCCTGAGTGTGACAAGAGGGTTGAGGACATTCCTCAGTCAGATATGCCAGGTTAGAGGTTGCACAGCGGCCACCTTTTCTAGCTGCTTCCCTTATGGTCTGCAGGCTCCACCCAAAGGGCCCTAAAATCTTGCATCTCAACTCTAATGGTGCCTATACTTGGGGTTGGACCATTTGCACCAGGATAGTCTCAGCCCTGGAAGCAGCTTCAGGTCTTGGGCTAAGCTGCTGTCTTGAGACTGTTAGCCCTGCTTTCTGGTCCCTGCTCATGCTTGCACATTCCTAGGGATGAGAGACTCAATCCACCACGAGGCAGGCTTGGTGGCAACAGTGGTGTCCCACTTGAGGATCACAGATTGGTCTCCTTTGTGGTCACATGGCTCAGATCATCTCCCTCCACCCCAGCCCCAATTCTGCCTCTTATAGATGACCAGTATCCAACTATTCATCCCATGAATCTTCTCTGACACAAGCATTCCTTTGCAGACCTACTGTTCTGTCTGGAGTCAAGGAGACCAGGCTAGTCTCCTCTGCTTGAATACTCTACTTTTATTTCAGCCCAAGACCCATAGCTGCCCCAGTATCTCACCAACGTGGGTGGCATTGCTGACTTCTTTCATGAAATGTCTGGATGCCACCTTTGCCAAAGCTAGACCAATTGATATAGTTGAATCACAGTCCATGCCTTCTTGAAGTTCAGTGGAAAGGAGGTGCTACCCAGGTCACTTTCTTAGAGATGTATTTACCAGGGACCAGCTGACCAAGAGATTACTCCAAGTCCCAAAGCTGGTATAGAAGCAGCTGTCAGGTTTCTCAGGGTCCAGAAGTGTCCCCTGCTGGTCACATCAGGCTGTATGAATTATAATGCTCACCTACTGTCTTCTGGTGTGTGTATGTGTGCGCGTGCATGTGGTGTTGGGTGTGTGGGTTTGTGTGTACAGAAGCTCTCATGGTTGGTATCAGTTTGTAAATGCCCTTCAGACACTCTGATTGGTCCCATGCTAAGCCAGGGCCACTTGTGACTGAATAACCTCCATGTCCATCTTCAGTGGGAGGTGGCTTGAAATTCTTTGGATCTGCATCTCCTTATCCCAAGAAGAAGTTCCTTAAAGCAAGCCTCCTCTGGCCTTACTTGGCCCCCTCTGCCTCCTCACCTGTCGCTTATCCTCCATCCAACCAGCCACCTTGTTTGCTTTGCCATCTGCAGGAACAACCCATCTTCCCATAATCTCCCCAGCTTAGGGCTGGATTCTCTTCCTTGTAGTTCCTGGCTAGCTTTTCTCCCTGGCTCTGAAGCCTTCTGCCTGGCTTTGCTCTCTGGATACTTGTGGTTCATCCCTGTAAGGGATGAGACTGGGCTCACACAGCCTGTTCCTCTCCAGATCCCAGGCTTAGGGCAGGTGCCACCTGCCCTGGCCATGTGCCTGCCGATTGGTAGCCCCTCTCCTTGGACTGGATATAACCATCAGGTTGATGAATGTCATCCATCTTACCCCTCTGTACATGCAGGGACTTGGATGCAGGCTTAACATGGACCTGGTAAACGGAGGCCCTCTGCCACATGGTGTCCTGCACATTGGCATTCCCAGGACATCCCTTGCCGTCACTCAGAATGAGTGCCGGGTGACTTACATTCATGTCTTCCAGGCCCAGGAAGCTCAGAGTGAGCCCATTGCGCCTCCAGATGATTGGTGGCCTCAGGTCCCCACGAATAGCGCAGGTCAGCACGGTGCTCAGCCCCACAGTCACTGTGGTCACACTGACCTTGTCCTCGGGGGCGAGGCTCAGCTGAATCACCTCTGTAGAGGGAGATGAGAGAGCAGTCAGAAGCAGACAGGGGGGCCAGGTCTCAACTCTAGGTGAACAGTCATGGACTCGCTTAAGGGCAGGGCCAAGGGCAGCTCTGGGCCCCCAGAAATGGTGTATAATGTGCCAACGAAACGCACCTTTGCTGGATGATGAGTTACAATGATGTCGAATGTCTGAAAGGAGACTCAGCTAGGGAAACATCTGGGCCATGGGTCTGTGAGTGCAGTTGAGAACACCAGTTGCCAGGCCCCATGAGCCCCACCCAGCAGAGACCACAGAGCTGGCTGTGGGATATGCTGCTTGGAGCCCTTTGCTTAACGAAGTTGGAATTTGCTGAGTGCGGTCAAGGTCTGCTGGTGAGCCGACAGCTATGTCGTCCATCTGGGGGCAGCTTAAAGGTTGAACTGTCTGCGGTCTGGAGCAGGAACTGGCTGACCTTTGAAGGTCTGTTTCTGTGTGAAGATTTGCCGAGCTTGGATTTGAATTTCTGTCCTGTGGCCATGCACTGTGGCCTTTCATTATTAATTATTATTATTATTATTATTATTATTATTATTATTATTTGAAGTGTACTTCAGGCTGGCCATATTCCATTTTCACTTGCCAACTGGCATGGAGCCTGGTCATTCTTTAGGCAAACATAGAAGGATCTAAGATATTTCCACACTACCCCCAGGCTTTCTGAAATCCTTACGGTTTATGAAAAATTAATCAAACCCAGGCTGTTCAGTGTAAACATGGGACCAGGCTGGAGTGGAGGGGAATGGGACAGGTGGTCCCCTGCCTTTCCTCTATGTCCACTCAGGGGCTGGCTTCAGGGGTGGGTATATCTGTATGTAGTCTAAGGTGCTGTGATAGTTGCATGGTGCTATGATGTCTCACCATGCCACTGTATTGCAACATAGGTGGCCCTGATGGGTATGTCCTCCAAAGAGGCTGAAGCACAGCATCCAACTGGGAGCTGAGCCCTGTGGAATGCTGGGGGCTGGGAGCTGGAGTAGCACCCCACCTCAGGCTGTGCTCTTTGGCCAGCACGTGGGGGAGGGGAACAGAAGAGAAGAAGAGAGGCGCAGGTGCAGCTTCAGGGTGGAGGTGGAAGCAGGAGCCTAAGGTCAGATCTGCAGCAGGCAAGTCCCTTCCTTGACATGCAGCGGCCCTGCCCTGGGCTTGTGACAATGAACAAGCTGTCCACGAGGCATTTCCTCAGTGCTTGCTGGGTGGACAACGGAGAAAATGAAAATAAAGGAGCCCAAGAACCAAGAGGCCTGTGGGGAGGGGCAGTCACACAGAGGAAAAATGTGGCTGGAGCGAAGGAGCCAGCGAGAGGAAAGATAAGCACCGAGTGATGGATGTGGACGCAGCCGGCGTAATATTTCACAAACATTACAGCCGTGCATTTCAAGTTCCCTCTTAAATCACGGTCCGCCTGCTGCCCTCCCACCTCTGGGCCAAGAGTGCTATTGCTCAGGGCAGGAAAAAGAGGTGCAGACTGTGTAGCAAGACCAAGAGCCAGGAGAGTCAGGGGGAGGGGAGGTGTGAGGGAGAGGGTGAGGGAGGGGGAGGAGAGAGGGAGAGAGAGAGAGAGAGAGAGAGAGAGAGAGAGAGAGAGAGAGAGAGAGAGAGAGAGAGAGAGAGAGAGAGAATGAGAATTTACTGAAATTGTTTAACTTCCACAGAACTCTGGACCCTCAGGGCTCAGAGTCAGAATCCGTTCCCTCAGTTGGAGAAAGGCGCTCTTCCTCACTGGATGACCACTGAGCTCTGGAAGCAAGATGAGTGGACTGCCTTTCATGCCCTAGGGACTACGGGAATAAGAAGGGTGCCTTTTAGAAATACACAGAGAGATCCCGAGGGCCTCTGAAAGATGCTATACATCCCCCCAGCACCTGCTCCCCACATCCTGGGAGTCAGACCAGAGCCTGAAGGGGTGCTATTGGTGGGGAGAGGTCAAGGGAGGCTCAGCATGGGTAGGTTGCACGACTGACCCCAGGAGCCTGGAGGTCCTTCTGGTTGGAACTATGCAGCCGGGAGAAGCTATGCTGCTTCCCTGGAAGCCAGCCTGGAGTGTGGCTGGGCTGAAGATCCACAGAGCAGCTCTGTTCATACCCAGAACATTCATGCTTATGGACTGTGGGTTCCTCAGTTTAGGCAGGCTTACCAACAAAGGGAGGGTTCAGTTGCCTCTTTCTCAGTGTCCTGGGGGAAGAATTGAGGCTAGGTACAAAAAGGATAATCGCCTTCTCTGCATCTAACTTCCATCAAGACCAGAAAGACAGGTTAAACAATTAACATAGAGTGGCCCTTGTAGGAGACATGGCTTCCCCTGGGCTCTAGAGCTCCAGTTCTCTGTTGTGATTTCCCCAGCTACCTGTATTGCACTCCTAGGTAATTGGCACACAGTGACTCCCCTCTTCTTGGGCTGCTGCAGACTCTTGTGAGGACAGTGGGCATCCTAGAGGCTTCTGTGAGGCCTGGGAACCACTGCCTTCCAAGATAGGAGGGGCCTGGGAATCTGAAAGTGGGGGCCATGCCAAGTAGAGGGTAAGAGACAAGCAATCTGATGGATTGGAGTTCTGGGCTACAAGTACAGGCTTCCATGTAGGATAGGGTACCAACATGAACCGTAGGATCCCCTCCTCCATGGTCACAATTTTCACCAAAGGTCTGCTAGAGCCCGGAACACAGGGCCAATACAAACAAGGCAAACATCCTGGGGTCAGGGCAGTGGCAGCCTTCTGTGACCCTCCAGGCCTGGGTGGCTGGGGCAGCTGGGTGATGTACCTTTCTCGGTTGAGTTCCCTATCATTTGTATGTATGAAGACATACACTTTGTGCAGGAAAAACTCATGTAAAATTAGAATGCGTGAGTACCCACAGAACCATCGTAATTCTGCTCCTGTCAGCTACACAAATATTAACCAAACAGCAAATATTTGGATCATTTAAAGTTTAATTAAATGAATGTTTTATTGGATTTAATTCGTGTCAATATTCCCCAGCTCCTTTTAAAATTCTAAAGAGATTTATGGTTACTGAGCCTTCTTCTCCCACCCTTATTTCTTTATTTCCTGTTCAGCAAGCTTTTCCTGTTTCCAGGCTAAGTGGGAAGACCAGGCAAGCTATCTGTCTGGGATGAACCAGGGGACTGGGGTCAACTGGACAGGATAGGACCCTTACCTCTGAACCTGGCTCAGCTTCTGAAAAGTGGAGCAGCCTTGGGCAGGTCCCTTCCTGTCCTTAGATTTCAATGTAGATGTCAACAAAACAAAAGATGTGGCTAGGAGCCCAAGGGTCTCACACTACTAGTTAAATACCAGACAAGAAACTGCCTAAGTCAGGGAGGGTTTAATTTGGCTTGTGGTTTAATAAGGGATGTAGACCGTCATGCTGGGCAGCAGGACGCACTACATCTGGAGGCAGGACACACAGAGGGAAACGCTGGTGCCCAGCTTCCGTCCTTCCTTTTCATTCACTCAGGGACCCCAAGCTATGGGGTGGTGTCACCCACATTCAGAGTGGTTCTTCTTGTGTGGTGATTTGGGTGAGAAATGCCCCCTATAGGCTGCAGCATTTGCATACTTGGCTCTCAGCTGGTAGTCCTGCTTGAGGAATTTTAGGTGGTACAGCCTTGTTGGAGGTTCATCGCGGGGGACGGGATTTAGGATCATATAGCCTGTCCTTGCTTCCAGTTCCCTTTCCCTCTACTTTATGCTTGCATTTGAAGATGAGCGCTCTCGGCTCGCTGTGGCGCCTCCCCACCACAATGGAATCCAGCTTACTGGTGTGTCTCCCCACCAAATAAACTCTCTTCTGTAAGTTGCTTTTGGTTTTGGTCATGGTGTTTTACCACAGCAACAGAGAAATAACTAATACACCCCTCCTCAGTCGACCCTCCCTGGAAGCATTCCCACGGACATACTCAGAGGTGTGTTTAAAACCAGTCAAGTGGACAATGAAGGTTAACCGTTATCCCTAACCCGTTAGAGTCTATGGCTCTGAGTAGATAATTCCGGGTGGATGTCCCCGCAGAGCACCTCCACTGCAGTGTGTCCATGGGAATGCTTCCAGGGAGGGCTGACTGAGGAGGGGTGTATTAGTTAGTTTTTTGAGGTTTTGATGGGAAATGTTCCCCATAGGCTTTAGGAGGTGCAGGAAGTAGGTCACCAGGGAGGACCTTCAGGCTTCATAGCCCAGCCCCACTTCCTGTTAGCTCTGCTATCTTAAGCTGACTTCCGGTTCCTGCCACTGTAGCTCCCTAGGCTGAAGCCACACCTTCCCATCCTAATAGAATGATCCCCGTGGCTTGTGAGTCATAACAAACACTTCCTCTCTTGAGCTGCTTGTCAGGCATTTCATCACAGTAATGAGAAAGGTAACTTATACATCTCTACTGTAACCAATGCCCCATCCTCCTGTAAATCTCTATTGTCCCTTCCAGAATAAAGTTATCAGCTGCTCCCTGTCACCCATACATGCAACATACAGAATGGAGAGAGTCCCTGATTCTGTACCCACTCTGTCTTGGACATTATGCTCTAGCTGGCCTCTTACTCTTCTTACTCCTCGGCTTTAAAACTCTCTCTCTCTCTCTCTCTCTCTCTCTCTCTCTCTCTCTCTCTCTCTCTCTCTCTCTCTCTCTCTCTCTCTCTCGTGTGTGTTGTGTGTGTATGCACACAAGAGTGCACACACTTAAGTGTGTGTATATGGAGCCCAGAGCAGTGCTCTGTGCCCACAGGGATAATGGATGTCACTGTTGTGAGAACTGCATTGGGAAGCTGCTGGAGGATTTTAAGGACAGTAAGGGACTCGGCTGTCTTCAGGGTTGGGCACCCATCTTCCTGTGGGTCAGGCCTTCTGGCGTACGTGGGCTTCCTCTTGCTTCCCCCTGTGTGAGGAGTTAGGACCTACATTGTGATGACTGTTATTTCTGCACAAGTGGACTCCTTTCAGCAAGGGTGGTCAGCTCCAATAGACCTTTGAGGGGCACTGG